CATCTTCTACTTCCATTTTCATTTACTAGGTCATAATTTCTTCAAAAGCATTCAATGTTCTCATATCACTGTTTTTCGAAATCCACGGCTCACTGGCATAGGTTAAGATCGACGCGGAAAGTATTTGGAGAAAAAAAGAATTTGATAATCGAGCTACTAAATGGGACCCTAGTACTTCTAGTCTGAGTATTAAGAGAGCTACACAGAAGCAAAGAAAATGTTGCGTGCTGTCATCATCCTCAAACAAAAATAGAAATAAGCTGTTATCAGTGCGGTTAAAACAAAAGAGATCGGACTCTAGTACTTCAAGTCTCAGTCTTGAGAGAGCTGAACAGAAGCATAAGAAATTATCTATGCTATCACCATCCTTCAAAAAAATAGGTTGTTGTCAGTGAGGTTAAAATAAAGGAAGCATTTGGCGCAAGTTGTGACCAGTGATCGCAGTGTCTGTGACAAAGAGTCACAATAAAAAAGTAGTAGCATTTCCACTGAATTGAGATAGAACTATGTTGGCTACGACAGAGTTAGTTCTCAATTTTATTTCCTGATATAACGATGAAACCCATTGGAACGTTAAACTGGTGTGTCTACCTACATGGTTTACCTACATTTGCATTCATAGACTAGTTTTGACGAAGTCGAATTCTTTTCATCTAAATTTAGGAATTGCGTGAAATACAGTTTTTTGAGAGTCTAAGGCGAAGTAGTATTTGCTATATAAATTCTAGAAAAATATGTCAGCGTATATATATCGGTATGTGGGATGTTTAAATTTATTTTTGAAATATATCAGCCTATAGATATCGGTATGAAGGGTGCTTAAATTTATTTTTCTTTAAAGTCATCGCTAAATATCAATAAAGTAAATAGATAACTTTTTCAACTTATTTAAAACAGTAATAACCATTATAATTTTGATATAGAAACTATAATTCTTTTATCTTTCTCAACCTATATATTAACCTGTATATTTCAAGCTCAAATTCTTTATAAAATGCTTAAAGACGTATCTAAGGTAGCCTAACTCTATAGTAATTTGTAAAATCTATCCACAACTGCGTAGGACATTTGCATACACACCCATATGGAATAATACTTACTTAACCTGGTATATATGCGCAACTCTTATCACCACACATTTGGGCTATTGTTGAAATGGTTTCGATTCAATTTACAATGACAGGCACACCGTTGTACTCTGGTACAAAATTTTCTCTATGCAGTGCTGAGATAAAACATGCCGGAATTCTCATGTTAGCCATTATTCACCTTCATGTACACGTATACAGAATTGTGTGTGATAATGTAATCTCGCATTAAAATAGCTAAATTAAGTTTCTAATTCAATTAGCGACAACATTTTTGCTTATGTTAACTGCTACTGAAATCTTCAGTGTGGCAAATGTTAATACTCATATCCTTCAGCGCACATTTTACATACTTCCCAGGATAAACCAGCTCATATACGAAGGTATCCACACACACAATATACATTCTTCTATTAATTAAGATACCTCCAATTTCGACTTACACTTGTAGGTATATATTTCTTTTGTGTATATATACTTGTAAATAAGTATCTCGCATCGTATATGCGGACTAATTAATCAATTCATATGTAAAGTGCTTGCGGTGAATGAAAATGTTAGCTTTATTCGGTTCACATGCATAGTTCGGTTGTGCAGGTGATTAACGAAATAAGTGGCAAAAATTTACAACAAATTTAAGGGATTAAATCGTAATTAGTTAACATATGTAAATGTGTTTAAAAACATAATCAATTATTTGCTATATTTAACATATGCAGGAACTATTGGGGTTGAATAATTTGTGTGACAGAATATGAAAATTGCTTACTTGTCCATAATAATTTTAGTTAAATTACTTTATTTATTATTCACTGTCATTATGTACTGAAAGTAAGAATCCTTATGAAATACAGTTATAAATTATTTGATTGGCGATAAATAAAATAATACAAAAGCTCCCGAGGTATTGAACCTGTTTGTATCAGATAAATACTTTAATTATGGAAAAATTGTCTTATTTAAATGCTGTCACTAAATTAATGCATTAAATGTGTTAAATAATATGAAAATATGAATTTAATATATATGAAATATACAATACGATTATTTACTTAACGAGAATACACATAGTATGTACGAAGTAGGTTTTTATAAAAATGTTTTCTTTTTATTGAAAGAAACTACCTGGGTTGTCTATTCTGAGGTCCACTGAGGTCCTTCAGGTTATCCCTTCATACTTACTAAACGATTACCATTTGACGAATCTCTTTTGTATCCTTAGTCTACATATGTTCATATTCGATATCTAAGCAACAGTCTGCTAAATGTTATAAAGCCTGATTAACGTGATTTTACAAAAAGTTGGACTGAAATATAAAATTTGCTTAACACTGCGCTCTTCATCTATAGAGGTACAGTTTTTGTAGATTTCAGAGTACTCAGCTCTTTATCCGTTAACTGAAGAAATAATATAATTTTTTTGTTGGGTATGTACAGCTGGTGGCAAATCCACTTCTGTTAAATCCTTAAGCTACTTACTCTGCTGGTACTTACTTTACTGTTTGGGTGTCCGTCAACTTTCCAAGTCCAAATCTATCTATTCTGTCTATCTTTGTGACATTCTGTT